GATACAGGCATTATACACCCATGTATATTCTGTTGATTCATAAGTATTTCAGATTGACTGTTTAATTCCGATATCTTATAAAAAAAAATAATGTTCTCATCTTTCATGCGTTGACATGATTTTTAATTTAAAAACTTTGAATGAAGAAATCAAAAACACATTCATTTCAAGGTTTTTAAAAATTTTTGTTTATATCAATTATATCCTCAATTTTAATTTTCGTATATAAAACAATGACTTTTTACCAGACAGCAGCGCTACGATGTTTGTTTCAATGCATAATAATTAAAAACAAAATCAGCCTTCAAAGGTACAATTGTTTATATCAGTATGTATTTTAATATAAAGCGAATCCTATTTCTTTCGTTTACCTGTACTGTAGAACATAATAATCTTTAGATATCGCCAGATTGAAAATAAGACTTTAGTGCAAAATAAGTTCAATGTTAGCGGAATGTTTACTATCACACTTAGATATTATGTATGTTGGGTGTTTAATTAATATCAAAATAATTATAAACAAACGGATATTCATATTATACTGTGTTTGTTTATTTACATGTACGTGAATAAATAACAAACAATTAACTTGAATTACACGAGGGCATGGAAGCTTTGTGTAGGAATGCTTAAAAAATAGGTCATAGGCAATCCATTAATTAATCATTTCGTACCACTTTAAACCCTTTAAATATACATATGCGACCATACATTCTTCACCTGTTCACGGTTCACTGCCTCGATGACGAATTTTCCAATAAGAACCAACAAGAACTGACTGTTTACCTTCCAACTATTGCGTCATGTTATACCTGTGTTTCATCATCGATGTAGGGTTGCATCATTACTGCTTTTTTAATTGTGAACGTTATTTTTAGCTTTTATAAAATATTGAGATTGAAAAGGAATAAGGTTTTATATTGTGTAAATAAATAAGAGCATTATTATAAATGAATAGAATTCAGTATAGACTAGTTTGTGTATATAAGTAGAAAAACCTTCCAGTTAGGCAAGAGTTGTAACCCCAGCATCGTGTGTACAACATGTTCAGTGACTTTACAATATCCGTAAATTTCTCTCACATCCGAACATATTATTTCAACACACTATGATTAAATGGTTAATTTTCATTTATCGAAATAATTATTTCTCAAACATTACTTTAGAGGGTGTTAAAGGGATGGGCAGGATTTTAGTTGGGAGGAGAGGGTGTTTAGGGGTAAAGGCAACTTGCTTTTGTAGGGAGGAAAGCTTTTTTAGGGTGTAGACAGTGCTTTATTTGGGAGGAAATGGTGTTTAAGGGTGTAGGCAGTGCTTTATTTAGGATTGTTACGAGGAGAGGGTGTTTAGGGGTGTAGGCTGTGTTTTGGTTAGGATAGTTAGGAGGAGAGGGTGTTTAGGGGTGTAGGCTGTGTTTTGGTTAGGATTGTTAGGAGGAGAGGGTGTTTAGGGGTGTAGGCTGTGTTTTGGTTAGGATACATGTAGTTAGGAGGAGAGGGTGTTTAGGGATGTAGGCAGTGCTTTATTTAGGATAGTTAGGAGGAGAGGGTGTTTAGGGGTGTAGGCTGTGTTTTGGTTAGGATACATGTAGTTAGGAGGAGAGGGTGTTTAGGGGTGTAGGCTGTGTTTTGGTTAGGATTGTTAGGAGGAGAGGGTGTTTAGGGGTGTAGGCTGTGTTTTGGTTAGGATTGTTAGGAGGAGAGGGTGTTTAGGGGTGTAGGCTGTGTTTTGGTTAGGATACATGTAGTTAGGAGGAGAGGGTGTTTAGGGGTGTAGGCTGTGTTTTGGTTAGGATACATGTAGTTAGGAGGAGAGGGTGTTTAGGGATGTAGGCAGTGCTTTATTTAGGATAGTTAGGAGGAGAGGGTGTTTAGGGATGTAGGCAGTGCTTTATTCAGGATTGTTAAGAGGAGAGGGTGTTTAGGGCTGTAGGCTGTGTTTTGGTTAGGATAGTTAGGAGGAGAAGGTGTTTAGGGGTGAAGACAGTACTTTACCTGGGAGGAGATGGTGCTAAGATGTTGGTTGTGCTTTTGTAGGAAGTGCTTGTTTAGGGGAGTAGGCCGTGTTTTTGTTAGCATAGTTAGAAGGAGAAGGTGTTTAGGGGTGTAGGCTGTGCTTTAGTTGGAAGGAGATGGTACTAGGAATGTAGGCAGTGCTTTAGTTGGGAGGAGGTGGTGCTAAGGGTGTTGGCTGTGCTTTTGTATGGAGAGCTTGTTTAGGGGTGTATGCTTTGCTTTTATATGAAGAGCTTGTTTATGGGTTTAGGATGTGCTTTTGTAGGGAGAACTTGTTTATGGTTGTAGGCTGTGCTTTAGTTCGGAGGAGATGGTGCTAAGGGTGTTGGTTGTGTTTTTGTATGGAGGGCTTGTTTATGGGTGTAGGCCGTGCTTTAGTTGGGAGGAGAGGATGTTTAGGGGTGTAGGCTGGCTGTGCTTTAGTAAGGAGGAGATTATATTAATGGTGTTGGCTGTGTTTTTGTAGTGAGGAGAGGATATTTAGGGATGTAAGCAGTATTTTATTTGGGAGAAGCTGTTGTTTAGGGGTGTAGGCTGTGCTTTTGTAGGAAGAACTTGTTTAGGGGTGTAGGCAGTGCTTAAATTGGGAGGAGAGGGTGTTTAGGAGAGTAGGGAGTGCTTTTGTAGGGTGAACTTGTTTTAGGGGTGTAGGCTGTGCCTTAGTTGGGAGGAGAGGGTGTTAGGGGGTGTAGGCTGTGCTTCATTTTGGATATGATGTTGTTTGAGGGTAGGCTTTGCTTTGGTTGTGAGGAGATGGTGTTAAGAGTGTTGGCTTTGCTTTAGTTGGAAGGGGATCGATGGTGTTAAAGGGTATAGACAGTGCTGTAGTTGGGAGGAGATGGTGTTCAGGGGTTTAGGCCTTTATTAGTTGGGAGGAGAGGGTGTTAACGGGTGTAGGCTGTTTTTAGTTGGGAGGAGAGGGTGTTAAGGGGTGTAAGGTATGCATTAGTTGGGAGGGGAGGTTGTTTAGGGGAGTAGGCTGTTTATAGTGGATGTATTAAGGGTGTACTGTTTTTGGGGATGAGAGGATATTTAGGGATATAAGTATTTTAGTTTGGAGAAGCTGATCTTTAGGGGTGTAGGCTGTGCTTTTGTAGTAAGAACTTGTTTAGGGGTGTAGGCTGTGCTTTTGTGGGGAGGAGAGGGTGTTTGGGGTATAGGCAGTGTACAGTTGGTAGGAGAGGGTGTATAGGGACTAAGGCTGTGCGTTAGATTGGAGGAGAGGGTGTTAAGGGTACGCAGCACTTTAGTTTGAAGCTCCATAGTTAGGGCACCTGACTAGGTCTATAGTGAAGCTGGTGTCCCGGGTTCATTTTCTCGGTCCAACAATGCATTTTTTGAATCTCCTTAATTTACTGTTGCATATGGATGGCCTAAAACCAACCATTCAAACCAAAACTTTAGGCCCCGAAATATAGTCGGTTAAGGGGGCATAAAATCATTATATCTTATTTACACAGGCATCTGACGTTATTTATTTTCAGTTTATTAAAAAAAATATTTGGTAGGGGTAATTTTATTATTTAAAAGAAAAATAACTAATTGATGTCAGGTGCCTGCGATTTTTTAGTAAGTGGCCACTGATATGTATTCTTGCATCTTGATTGATTGCAGATCAAGAAGCACACACACCATGCACACACTTTCATTGAACATTGCTTATACGTACCCTACCCTCGTAGATCATGATTTGAAAGAGGGTCATAGTGCAATATGGAGACTTGTCCACTAATATTTTATTAATGAAGCATGAGACCCTCTTTCGGCATTTACTGACACTAGATGGCAGCACTACACCCCCCCTCCCCTGCTGTGGATCTTTTTCCAACATTTTAATGATCAGTATCAGTCCATTTTCTTCATGTTCAGTGTCACGCCATAGAGCAAGGCCAGACTGCTTCATGCCCTTACCAAGGGACATATTTTAATCTACATTGACACATACGTGGCGTGATTTATATTGCATCATACTTCGTCATGTGGACTACGTGGTATTGAACAAGTATACGTACGAAGCATGTATCTAAGTATATACCTTTTGTCAAACGAATTAATGTGTGCTTTGTGGAAATTAAACGATATAATCGTGTTTTAAAAGAAAACCTGTTATAGCTTCGAATATGCATTGCAACTGAGATGAAAATTTCAAATTAAGTAACTAGTAACACAGTATACGACGTTTACGTATTAAATGTAAGTTAATTCATATCAAAATATTGTATATGATGTTTGATTATTACTACATTGTCTTTTTTTTATAAATTATAATTGAGCTTTTTCTTATTAACAAATAAAATAAATAAATATTTAACTAGATAAATAAATAAATAGGCCAATAAATAAATAAATATAACGTCTTTTAATTAAAATTTCATTTTTATTCTATTTTCAAAATATATATTTTAAATTTGCAATTGTACAATTAAAAAAAAAAGTGTGTAGAAAAACATGATTAAAATTAATTGTACATGTTGTTATGTGTGTAAGAAACAGAAGCGCAAAACACATATACCTGCATAATCCTTTGTTTACTAGACTCTCATACTACGCTGTGTTTATTTTCGTTTCCTTTGTTCTTGAATGACTGACGTGTAAAAACGTCATAGATTTCTACAATAGAGGGTTCCCATATTTGGAGTTCTTCTCAGGATTCCCCCTAAGATATTTAAAGAATACTAAGTCTTTAACCAATAGCATTTGTACAACTTTCTTTTCCAGGTCTAATTTTAGAAATACCGAGACAACCTTTCTAAAATTAGATCTGGAAGAATTTCATTGTATGATAGGCAGTTTACACTACAGAAAATAGTTCCAATATAATTTTAAAAATTATTTACATAATAATAGCTATGATTTGTTCTCAGCGGATCTATAATAATTTGAAATTTGTACAAGATAAGATGTTGATTGATTAATAAGAAAACTTATTTAATTTAAGAGTGTTTAGAATGAAGCGGAGGTCTCATCTGCGTATGAATATAAAATTACCTTCCTTCAGATTACCCTACTTTCCATACACGTTGCCAACAGCACAATGGATAAATCTAGACGCAGTATGTCTGATAGCCTCTAAACGGGAGGGGGGAAAGTGTGCCCTTCCCAAGTGAAAGAAAAAAGTGTTTGGTGTTTCAGAAGCAAGAAAGAACGGTGTGAAGAAGTTATAACCCATTAACAGCGGATTTAAAGAAGAAAAACGCAGTTTCCGTCTATATCGACCCGGCCAGTATATTGTACGCAATTTCATCATACAGTGAAACTGTGATTAAGAAGTTATTGCACACCTAAGTTAGAAGTTGGGTAAGGGCACAAAAATAGATTTCCTCGCAAAAGAAGAACAGTTTGTAGTACTGTATTCCACAGTGGACCAATTTTATTTTTGTCTGTGATAATAGAACTCTTGCACGAGATTCATTGTTCATTGACCGTTGTGTAACTGTGATACAACTCATTGTGATAAATATTCAAATATTTATTTTTGTGTTGGAAGAAATATCTCAAAATAGGTAATTCAATCGAATTTCTTGATAAAACAGGATTTAAGAAGCCTGTGTGGACGGTTTGGATTTTTGAAAGCTTTACAGGAAAGGAAGGGGTCCACCTTCTTTATGAATATTACGCGGGTAAGGCCCAGGCTGCAGATTCCAAAGCATGGGCACCAAAAGAAAGAAGACTTGTTTGACAATCCAAAACCAAACCTAAATTCAGTACTTAGTCCAGATGTGCAGCTTCCACCACCAGATTTTCCAAAGAAGCCTGATGCACAAAAGGCATCTAAAATTGGTAGATACATACTTCTTGACCAACAAGAGGGAGAAACATTCAAGGCCATAAACTGGCAGACCTATGAAGAATACATATGCAAGGTATATTATTGTTCACATTTCAATTGCATTAAAAATTTTATGTAATTAAGATTGATCATTGTTTGCAAAATTGAAATGTCTTTGATATAAAAGGACATGTTCAGACAGTTTTTGAATAATTCTTGGTTTTGTTTCATTTTCCCTTTTAAAATGTGTAGGCTTGTTCAAATGAGTCATAGTTTGGTTACCTGATAGCGGATGACAGTTGCTCTGCATTTAAATAGTGAACAATAAAAGTTATACAGTATGCAGAAAGGCAGTGGTTGTTATTGATATGACTTTTTTGACAAAATGTGATATAATTTACATCAGCTTTATTAGTCATGTTAAGAATATAATATTTGGGTCAGGTAGAAGCTAAGCAGCAGCATTGCATCAACAGGAAATCACTTACTCAATGTCGAGAGCATTGTATCATTCTTAATCATGTTGCATCTATTGAGTTATATTTAGCAGCAATGAGCTTTTTTGCTTATTAACTGTATCGTGCAAAAACATTGTTCAATAATCTTGGAACAGTGCAGATCAGATAGGTATAATGGAAGAAGAAAGCAAGCAGCCTTTAGCAATTATTTTATATTTCCTCTTTTATTTTCTCAGGTATTTCCTGTAAATACATACAGAGACAATCTTGCTCCATATTGGCAAGTGGATGACCACGAGAATATCAGTTCCATCTCAGAAATCATTCTTGGGGAGACCAAAGCTTACGTCATTTTTGAGCGACATTATGGAGACTTGCATTCCTATGTGAGACAGAAGAAGAAACTGCGAGAAGAGGAAGCTTCACAGCTGATGCAGCAGATCGTTGCTGCCGTGTTGCATTGCCACGAAAATGGGGTGGTGCTACGAGATCTCAAGCTGCGTAAATTCGTCTTCAAAAACCAGGAAAGGTATGAAATATTTTGATGTCTTTTAAATATTTTTGACAAGTAATACGCATATACGTGCTAAAGGTTACATTCAGAACTATGTTAATGGTAATCAAAAAATGGGAAACGAAAGCGTAAAACATAATTAAATTAATTGTTAAATGTCAGTAAGGATTTTGGAATTGTTAAATTTTCTAAATGGAGAATCTTCAGATAGCTCAAATAAAATGAAATGAAGGAAGTCAGGAAACAATAAAGATGACATAAATTAGATTTTAATTATGTGTGAGAGATTATTTCCTGTGGTTTTTTTTTACTTTTCCTAATTATAACTGTGTATGAGCAAATTACGCTCTCTAGAATCGTGCAGTATTTTCACTCTTCATTGAACTGTGTTTCTTCAGTACACAGTGTAGGTGAATATAGGTCAACTGAATGTAAATGTATTGCTCCACCTAGCATAGCAAGTCAAATCAGCTCCGCCCAATAATTTAATGTCTGTCGTAAAAAGCAGACGCCCTTGTTAAATACCTATCAAGTATTTAGCTCTAGGCATAGAAGTTTGAAGCATTGAATTAATTTCGATTCGTTTCGAAAGAAAAACAATACGCCTATTAAGAAAAACAAAAACTCAAAATTCAATTGTGTATTTTTAAACAAATATAAAGCCTCCTGCTGAGATTTTTTTGTAATTCAAATAGGTTTTTGTAATCGATTTGCAAACATGCTTACTAGAAAACATTGCTTATGGCGTTTTTTACTGGTTGCACCCAGAAGTAAGGGGGAAATATATATATATCTGATTAGGCGTGCCTGAATTGCAGCTTGTTTGAAATGTTATCGACAGTCAGTTTGTTAATGTGTTATTATGGATAGGGTGTGGTGACTTTTTACATGGGTTTGTGTTGTTTAAATCTTGTTAGCTGGCGAAGGTTATGGTAGTGAATTCCTTTTAATTGTTTCCAGTCATGAAGGAAATATGAAGGTGCCTGGTTTCTGCTGTCATTGAATAAGACAGAGTAGATCACAATTTTGGTTAATTATCATACAATGAATACACCTTTTTTTCTGAGTGTAAATTATACTGTCAGAAAATTTCATTAAATAGAGAGTGTGTATCTGCAAGAGCATGATGTTTTTGTCACATATTGATAAAGGAAATGAAAAAGGCCTGTCAATGGGTCGATCCTTGCACTGCTGAGCCCCAGGCTAGTCTATTTATAGACCTTGGTGTGTTGGGAATGTGGTTTGGATTCACATTTATTGTTTGTAATATAACATAAAAGTATGGGAGTGAGGTTGGATCAATGTAGAAATGGATTCCATGGTTTTATTTCTGTAGCACATTGTACCTGGCCTAGATAAATCCAGCCATTGATAAAATGGAACAGCTGACGTCATTTAGCTTCATGTCTCTTTGATTAATTTTTTCTCTTTCCATACACTCTAGTGAAGAATGACGCATGCATGTTGAACTTAAGGTTGCCATTGTAGGTCGACTGTCGGCAGATTGTATAACGCCCTGTCGTATAAGTTTAAATACCTCTCAGTGCGCTGCCCCAGCAAACAACCTGAATTATGAAAATGCTTGAAATTCTCAATGATGTAGGACTCCTTAAATAGAACATTGAAGTGCACAACTAATGAATGGTTGGAATGCTAGCATGTAATTTGCTGATGAATTCTTCCTCACAGGACATAATCTCTAACTTTCTATATATAGTAACTTTTCCTATCCCATACACAGCTTATCTAAGCTGTATCAGATATTGCATAAAACTTGGAACAGATTCAATTTTTTATTCAGTATTTGTTTGGTTTATCTTTTTAGAACGGAGCTTCGTCTGGATGGTTTGGAAGATGCCTATGTTCTGAACGATGACAATGATGATCGACTAACTGACAAACATGGCTGTCCAGCATACGTCAGCCCTGAAATTCTGAACCCCAACGAGACTTACTCTGGACGTTCCGCAGATGTCTGGAGCCTTGGCGTGATGCTGTATACCATGATGGTGGGAAGATACCCCTTTCATGACTGCGACCCAAGTGCACTCTTTGGGAAAATCCGTCGAGGGCAGTTCTCTGTTCCCCCTGTTCTGTCTCCTAAAGCTCGGTGCTTGATTAAGAATCTGCTGAGGAGGGATCCGAATGAACGGCTCTCCGCAGATCAAATCCTCAAACACCCCTGGTTCACAGACTCCTCCATGTCGGGGGGATTCGTGACCATCATAGACCACAAAAACGTGGATCAGATGGTCCCCAGTATGCTTGTTCATGAGGCAGAGGACGATTTCTTTATTTAATTGCCTCGTAAGAGACTTTGAAAAAAAAAGAAACTGAGAAATCAGCTATCATTCAAAGCGGGTAGAGCAAATGAATGCAATATTGAACATTTTGTTTGAATACACATCCATTATGTTTCAATGGTATGTTTTTTCTGAAAGGACTTGCAAAGGATCTATTGCAGCTTTTAACATGTTGACACAAGAATATCAGTTTGGTTATGGGAATGAAAATTTGTAAAACATTCAACAGAATGCTTTAGACATGTGATCTAGTTGCAATTGACACAGTTGAATAAACTGCAAAAAAAGAAGAGATATGTGCCAAGTTCATGTCATGCGCAAATGAAGTTATAATTGTGTTGTGAATGTTATCACCTTACATAATCATCATAGAATAAAATTGCGTATCGAGTCGCAAGCGTAAGATCTCCTTTAACTACATAGGCCAGTTTCTGTGTGGAGTGAATGTTTGATTGTGACTTCTGGTTACAAAACAGTGCAAATGTGTTGCACACGTACATGTATATGTTAAATGTTGTGTTGCTAACTGTGTAAAAGGGGGCCTTGTGTATGTTGAAATACCACATTCCACAGGCAATAAGTACATAGTAATGTAGAGTGTGTTAGTGATTTAATTTATTTGTATTTGATTAAGAAAAGAAGATGCAATATAAATGTAGTGCAGGACTGCTATATGTCGTTTAATTCTAAGGGATCTGACAAATTTCCTCCCAGCATTTACTTTAATTTGATTAAACAAAAAAAGTGTTTAATCAGTGTTTGTGGGGAGAAATATTTTAGATCCTTTAGACTAGACGGCGGTGGTCATATAATGTATGAACAAAAATGTTAGTGTGTTATGAGTTTTCTATTGTATCAAAGGCTTTGTTTTCTATCAGATTTTGTCATAGGTAATCTGTTGATGTTCACATACAAATAAAATGTTAAGAATACTCGAGGTGTCCAGATTTCTCTGTTCCGGGTCTAATCATGGCGGACTATCCCCCATCTGAAAAGGTGAGCTTATGCAATCCCGGAATGTATGATAACACAGCGTATCAGCCTTAATAACTTCTCCGGGGTAGAATCAGTATAAAAATTTACATGTGGCCATTTACGTTTTTCCTCTTTCCTATAGGAAATCGATGTAAACAATCTACGTGTAAACATGTTTATCCATGGATTGAGCCTGTTTACTACTGAATCTCACTGAAAACTGATAGAAAATATATGCGGAGAAGACATTGCTGCGAAGCTCTAATAGGATTTAGATATCTACAATAATTGCTTTAGAGCGGATTGTCCGTCACACCTGTATGCATGGAGATCGTAAAATAAACTACGCAGTGGTCCTAATTGGTCACGCAGGTCATGATATAGCACTTGCTCAGATCAGTTGCGAAATGGCAGGTTTTCATCGTATCATTAGGAACACGTCATGTCCAGTGTGAAACGTATATATAAGGGTCATGTACTAGTACATTGCGTATATCAAGCTTGATTACACATCTATACTTTTCAATATAAACATGAGGTATGTCCTGAGGAATGCGAAAAGTTCCATAAACATATATTTGAAAAATAGTTCCAGAACATAAATGTATCCGTAGAATTATTCAGAAAGTAGTGTCAGCATTTTATACCATGATAAAATTGTTTGTTAATAACAGGCACTTAATATAGTTTTATAAGTATGCTCATCTGCATTAAATTTTGACAATACATTTGTATATATCACCGACATCTAAGTGTTAGACGGGCATTTTCACATGGATAAATTTTGGTTGATTTTAAAATGATCTAAAACCTATTCATTGGGATTCAATTTCGTCTTAATAAACTTACCAATAGATCGAATACGACAATTCTCTTTTTTTTTTTTTTTGGATTTCCTAAATCAAATCTGCATTTACAGTAAAAAAAAAAAAAAAAGACACGGCAATTTTAATTTGAACGCATAATTAAAAAACTGTAGTGTTTTAGTACTATTCTAGAAAAAAAATCCTTTGTGAAATTTGATGTACATTGTATTTGTCAAATGATAAAGTCTTAATTGGTGTAAAATACTATTTAAAATGATAATTGAAAAGATTATGACGAACACAGACCTTTATTGTATTTCAAATGAAAAGCAAATCGTTTGATTGAAAAAAAAACACCAACCATATTACAAGAATATATTTTATTTACTTTTTGTCAATTTGATACTTTTTTCCTTGATGATCAATTAATATTGTTATTGTTTGATATTTAGCTGTGTTTGTAAATTTACGCGATAGTTCATAAAAACATTTCATTTGTATTCCAACATCGCAGCTAACACGACTAAATGCGCAATAGATTTTGTGTCTGACGTAGGGTTGTTGACTCTGAATTTGAATTTCGCTACATGTAGAGTTGGGGTGACTGACCCTTTGTTTGGTTATAACTAACGAGATAGAATATACAGCGGGAATCACAGATGAACTGCATGATTTAAAGATGTTAAGATCAATACTATAATGCAATCTCTCATAACTGTTTTTCCGCCAAAGAAAAAATGTCAAAGATTACGTTCAAGTTTATTAATTTTAAAAAGGATCATGCCGATACATTTCCGCAAAATGTTACGGTAGATAGCAGTACAAACTAGGTCCAATGTTGAAAAAGATAGACATACAAGGCACAAAACAAGAGGTCCATGGGCCAAATCGCTCACCTCTGACTCGGAACTTTCTCTAGAAAAAAGGAGGAACATCTGCTTTAGCTGGTCTTGTGTAGTAGTTTTTCATGATAAATTCCTTTGTAATAAAAACTCAATTGCCCTTGTGAACCCTCCCTATCAACAGGGTGATGATAAAAAGTCACTACCTACGCCTGCTTATAAGTTAATATACTATTGCTTTTCATGAAAAAAAAAATATTATGGTATTTTCCTATGTATTCCAAAAACAAACTTTGATCGCCCATTGTGTCTCCCATTACCCCTGCGGGTCATGTTTCGAAGATACTTAATTGAATCATCACTTCTGTGTAAATATGTCCAGTTATTGTTTTGTTGTTCTTGTGAGGGAGATTTTAAAAGATTTTCCTATGCATTCCTATGTAGAAATTTGATACCACATGCGGTCCCTCGATACTCCATTAATTTTGAAGTTACAAGAATAAAGGCCAATGGTCAAACTGGACAATGGATCAAAGATGTCTGTTCAGTATTTTGAGAATCCATTATTTGGCACTCATCAAACTTATACATTGATTCTCCCTTATAGAGATTCGATGAACCCTACTGATTTTAATAACGAGACTTCAAACTTAATTGGTACACTGGTCCATCTTAGGAAGTAAATGACTTTTTTAATATTTAAGATTATATGGCCATAATTATAGGTCAACGGTCAAACCATGTAAACGCTAAACATATACTAATACAGGAAACAATTCCAGCTTAGTCTTCCTCCTTCTCTATAGAACTGTCATTTAAAGACATGAAATCAAGTATTCTCAGAAGAAAATCACGCCTAATGAAATATTATAATATTAAGGTATCATAGAGATCGAATTAGTACTATATGTTTGTCCCTGATCACCAGTTTATTCACTATCATTATACTGACATTCTAAATATAAGTTGTTTCCTTTTAGTTAAATAATTCTACATTAGGACATACATATACATATTGTATATGTTTTGCAAACACTCTTATTTCTATAAATAATGATTATTTTAGGAGAGCCATGCGCCCGTTTTTTTTCTGTTCTGATGATCGACTATGTCACGATTGTGACAAATATGACACAATTTATAAGTGGTTGATTCTGGTTAAAAAACCTAACGCGGAAGTAAGCTCAGTTCTTGACACAACATGCAATTTGTCAGTTTTTCGTAACGAAAAAATCGATTAAGCTATCAGAAACCCGCCTTGTTTTAAGTAAATGATCGTTAAAACACTTTAAGAAAAAGACTCGAAGCATGAAGTACTTTATTTTATTTAAAATCAAGATCGATTTTGCCAAAATGCATTGAGTATCCAACTTATTATATGCTATTTTAGACCGTGGTAGTGGTCCCGTGTTCTGTGGGCTTTTGTATTATGAATCCCAGCAATTTGTTTAAACACATGCACATGCATTTGTATGAATAATAAAATACGATGACTTTTGGGACACCCCCCCCCCCCCCGCCGGTCCTGCCATAAAATATGCTTTAAAAAAGCAAGAAACAAGATGTGTTTGTGAAACACTGATGTCCCCGTATGGCAACATAGCGAAGGTTAAGCTTTCTCAAATGCAGATCAAACTAGTGCTAATTGTAACGGGGACCGTTACAGATGTTCCCTTAAACGCTCCCCAACTCCCTTTTCTAGTCATATTCCCTGTAAGCTTCATTAAATAAGACAAACTCTATGCATTTGAGACTTTAACAACGTTTACCCAGAAGTGTACCAAGTTCATTCAAATTTTAGCATTGTACGCGTGCGCATGTGAATGCATGTGCGTAATGACCATATCATCTTGTCTACACAATCTATATATTTTAATATACTAAATATTAAAGTATTTATCTTGGACAGACGCAATAAATCAAAAACAATTTTTATAGGTTTTTATTTATTTGGCGCTTTTGGGCACGGCTGAATAATATAACATATTATTTCGGGCCTCCAAAGCAACGGGTAGGCCCAGCAACAACAACAACATTTCAGTTCAACAACAACAACATTTCAGTTCAACAACAACATTTCAGTACATCAACATATCAGGTGACCTTGACCCTGGGAGATGCAGATGCCAAGGTCAACAACATTTCAGTACAACATCAACATATTAGTTGACCTTGACCCCTGGAGATGCAGAAGTCAAGGTCAAATAATAAAAACTTGCAATGCAAGAATAATATTCACACATCCATGACTCTGGGAGGTGCAGAAGTCCAGGAAGAAAATAAAATATTTAGAATAATAATCACACATCCATGACTCTGGGAGGTGCAGAAGTCAAGGAAGAAAATAAAAATAAAATAGTTTTGTTTACACTGTCACAATATTTACATGGTATTCAACTTTGACCCTGTGTGGTGCAGCGGTCAAATAATGAACCCATATTACATCATAGTTCAAGTGATGTATGCCGCTCAGTTCGCAGTCCATCTTCAGAAGTGACAGCCGTGCCGAATATGTAGGTACAGGTGACCAGTTGCTATGTAAAACTCAGTTCGCAGTCCATCTTCAGAAGTGGGAGTCGTTCCGAATATGTAGGTACATATGACCACTTGCTTCGTAAAATTCAGTTCGCAGTCCATCTTCAGGAGTAACAGCCATGCCGAATACGTAGGTATAAATGGCCACTCGCGATGTAAAACTCAGAAATGTCAGTTCGCATTCCATTCATCAGAAGCGACAGCCATGCCGAATATGAAGGTACAGATGACCATTTGCTTTGTAAAATTTTCCACTGAAAAGAAAAAACAGAAACCAGCAGTATCTATTCAACAATGTACAATTGGGGGATCAGGGTAGGGAGGGATTTCATAAATCTACACTTAGCCATTGTTTTCACAAATTTGATTAACACCAACCTTGCAACTAGCGTGTAACCGGCAAAGAGAGAGTTTGCAGCACGAGCATCTTTCTTTATATAATTGAAAGTTAGATAACTCGTGCCGAAACAAGGAGAGATAACTGCGCCCAAAAATATTGCGCTGCCAAGATAAAAGCATCTTATTCGCATATGGGCGAGATAGATGCTATATTATCTTGGACAGACGCAATAAATCAAAAACAATTTTTATAGGTTTTTATTTATTTGGCGCTTTTGGGCACGGCTGAATAATATAACATATTATTTCGGGCCTCCAAAGCAACGGGTAGGCCCAGCAACAACAACAACATTTCAGTTCAACAACAACAACATTTCAGTTCAACAACAACATTTCAGTACATCAACATATCAGGTGACCTTGACCCTGGGAGAT